GCGCCGCGCCACGCCACGCCACGCCTACCTCGGACCCTCCTGGCCCCGCTTGGGTCGCTCCCGAGCTCCGCCCCCCGCCCCCAGGAAGCCTGCCAGGAGGCGAGGGCGCCACCCGGTGGCTCGTCGGGCTGAGACACCCTTGGCTTCCCCTAGGTACGAAAGGTCGGAGGTCCCGGCTGCGCCGTGCGTGTGCGGGAGATTCCCGCCACGTGGGAGGCCCCATCCCTGGCACCGTAGCGACGCGCGAGGGAGAGAAAGGGCTCTGGGTCCTCCGCTCTGTCTTCAAGTTGGGGACGCGAGGGTTTTATTCTGTGCAAGGTATTACTCGTTGATTATCTCCAGTCCCCCTTTTCCTCCATTCATTCCAGTCTATCGATGCCGTTTGGAGCGTTCAGTCAACAGACCGCCACCCTGAAACTCGAAAAGGAAGATGTCTTGCACAAAGTGCAACGGCCAGACTCAGGCAGGTCCCGTTCTCTCGCCCAGTGGATTCGTGTTCCCTGGCGCGGTGGTGAAATTGTTAAACACCCACATCCACGAATCCCCGTGATCAGCCAGGGATTCCGGCTGATCCCTGGACCTTGTGGTCCCATTAGGTCTTATTCCAGCCCCTGCAGTCAGCGTTGGAGGCCTCTGGAGGATGGATGAGCTGTCTGCAGAAGCCTGGGTGGCAGAGCAAGTGAGGTTAAAGCCGCTGAGATGCTGCCAACTGAAAGGCCACCACCCATCCTGCGTGTGCCCAAGCTCCAAGAGCAAGAGGGGGGACGAGGGGGTAGGATGCAGAAGGGAAGTCACTTCCCATCAGCAACCCAGGTGCAGATGCTGGCATGACTGAGTGGACACAGAAGAGGTCAGAGGTCCTCAGAACAGTCCTTATAGTGCTGTCAGACACAGGCCCTAGGGAGTTCATTCATTCACTGGCTCTATGTTCATTCACTAACTTCTCTATTACACATTCACTTATTGTCATTCAACTACTGACACATTCATTCACTGGCTCATTCGTTTATTTGGTATTTACATGGAGCCAGCCACGGGGCTCTGATTAAAGAGATCTGTGGAGGACTGAGACCAGGCCCCTGCTCCCAGGAAGCACAGAACATCACTGGTGAAGGAAAGCCATGTGAAGACAGTGCTTGAGAATCCAAGATAGTCCAGTAGTACCTGTCATCCACCAGAGCAGGGAGGCTTTGAGTCAAGGTTTCACTCTGTCACCCAGGTTGGAGTACAGTGTCACAAGCATGGCTCACCGCAGTCTCGACCTCCTGGGCTCAGGCAATCTTTCCTCCTTACTCTCCCAAATAACTGGGACTACAGGCACAAGCCACCACATCTGGCTAATTTAAAAAAAATTTTTTATAGCAACAGGTGCCTCACTATGTTGCCCAGGCTGGTCTCAAACTCCTGAACTCAAACAATCCTTCTCCCTCAGCCTCCCAAAGTACTGGTGTGATTACAGGCATGAGCCACTGCGCCTGGCCTTCCACAGGTTGTTTTAAAGGAAAAACAAAAACAAAAGCAGCTGCTCTGACAACCCCCATTTCATTTTCCCTTTTGACACAGCTAAGATGATCTTGGGACTGGGGCAGAACCCTATACTTCTTCATAACCCTGGAGTCAGGCAGACCTGGGCTTGAATTCCACATTTACCCCGTGTGACCTAGACAAGTTACTGAGTCTCTCTGTTTCCTCCTTCCTAATGAGATAACACCCATCTCTAAGAAAGATCAGGCCTGGAGAGCAATCGCTGTGTGCTTTGTAGGCAGAGTGCCAAATTATACCGATGACAATCAGAATAAAGCACATGACCTCATCACTGCATAACTGACAGGAAGCAGTTGTGGGGAGAGAGGAGGGTCTTCAGGGAATGTTCTCTTCCCTACCTGCCCCACTCACGTTCCAGGATTATTGCAACAATCTGCATAGCAGCTAAAGAACCTTCTGGAATTAAGAAACAGTTTGTTTATTTATTTATTTAGAAATGAGGTCTTGCTATGTTGCCCAGGCTGGTCTCGAACTTCTGGACTCAAGTGATCCTTTCATCTCAGCCTCCCAAAGTTCTAGGATCATAGGTGTGAACCACTATGGCCGGCCAAGAACCAGCTTCTTAAAAAGGGAGTAGGACCTCCAGTGGCCTGCCAGTGTTTCTGGCAAAAAATTTTTTTTTTTAATTGTTAGCTGAATGCAGTGCTCACTCCCAGTACTGTAATCCCAGTACTTTGGGAGGCCGAGGCGAGAGGATTGAGAGGCTGAGGTTCGAGAGCACCTGGGCAACCTCGTCTCTACAATAAGTAAAAAAATAAATAAATAAAAATAAAAGCCAGGCATGGTGGCACGCACCTAATAGTTTCAGCTACTTGGAAGGCTGAGGTGGAAGGATTGCGTGAGACCAGGAGGTCGAGGTTGCAATAGCCATGGCTGTGTCACTGCATTCCAGCTGGGCGACAGAGTGAGACTATAACTCAAAAAAAAAAAAAAAAAAAGGTAACATAATAAAATAAAAGCTAACTACAGCTTCCATTTATGAGCCCAGGCTTCACCCCTGACTTCACCCCCGTGACACCCATCCACCCAGGCACTTGAGCCACGACACTTGAGCTTATCTCCCCACAATGCACGTCTCCAGCAACACCTCTTCTGCAGCACCTCCCAGGAGAAGCCGCTTCTGCCTGGACCCCCAAAGCCCCCAACCTGTCATCCACCCCTCTACGGGGCTGCTCTGTAATCCTGAATCAGAAATCTTCTTACGTGAAACCACTGTCATCCACGCTTGCTTAGACAACTGGGAAAGTCTGTTGAAAGGAGGAAATCATAAAAATGACATCCACCCCTCATATGCTGTATATCAACATAAGACACAATCACCCGTTTCTGACCTTGAGCGGAGTCTTGTCTATTGAGAGATCTCTGTTGAATTTTTCATTTTCCTTACATAAACCATATCCTTACATGAAGCAACCTAAGAGTTTCAGATTTTGGTTTTTTTTTTTTTTTGAGTTGGAGTCTCACTCTGTCACCCAGATTGGAGTGCAGTGGCCGCTCCCGGCCACCGCAGCCTCAACCTGCTGGGCTCCGGTGATCCTTCCGCCTCAGCCTTCCAAGTAGCTGGAACTAAAGGCGGGCGCCATCATGCCCGGCTAATTTTTTTGACTTATTGTAGAGATGAGGTCTCGCTAAGTTGCCCAGGCAGGTCTCAAACCCGCGGGCTCTGGCAATTCACTCACCTCAGCCTCCCAAAGCGTGGGATTACAGGCTGAGCCACTGAGCCCAGCAGAAGTCCATTTCTTGAAGCTTGGGATACTCTCCCCTTGCTGAGCTTAAAGCTGAAATAGAGCGTCAGGTCCTTTGAAATCAACAAGAATTTGAGTCACCTTTCACTGATGGAGCCCTTGGCTCAAAGCTGTGGAAGTACATTAGCCTTGTTCTCCTGGAGACCACATTCAATTTGAGAATACCCATATAGAACAGTTACCATTTTTGAAATTTTTCCATGAACCAGGAATAAACTTTCCTACATACACGATCTCACTTTAATATAACTTCTTTTCACATATCATAGATTCTATTTCCACAACAGCCCTGTGAGATAGTTTTAATACTATCCCCATTTTCACGCAAGGAAAAGGCACAGAGAAGTTAAGGTCCTGGACTGAGGCTCCCAGCTAGAAAGGGGCAGATCAGGAACATTCTGCAGTGATTCAATAAAGGAAGGGCTTGATCCGAGGGGTCTTGATTTTCTGATCATCCTCACAGAGCTTCCTTCTAACATTTCCATCTTCTCTCCTCGAGTATCAGATTCCATGCTTGCAGGATTCCAGCCTCGAGGCCAACCAGCCATGGTCAAGGTAGAAAGAATCACACGGCAGTGTTTCTGAAAATCAGCCTTTTAATCTATTGGAACCCAATGGTTGGGGAAAGGACTAAAACATTTTTTTTCCCTTGAGATTTTGATTATAAGGATAACAGGGCAGAGGTGTCTCTTCCACAGGAAACTGACATCCCCTGTGTCCTCAGAATTAAAAACAAAAAAATGGGTAAAAGTAGAATCTCAACTCTTGTGCATGCCACACATTTCCCGTTCCCACCCAGCCCTGCCCCACCCTTCACTGGTGCACGAATTCACGCACCAAAGGGACTTCTTTCAGTAACTGGGCAACAGAATGTAAAAAAAAAAAAAAATCCATCCAAGTGGTCACAGATACCAGAAATAACCAAATGCATTTACACTCGAAACATCAGTCAACTCATATGCAAAAGGAGACGCTTTTCCAACTGGAGGTCAGAGCCAAAAGTTACAAATGGCAGAGACTTGAGCTACCCATATAGGTAATTTAAAAAATCCTTCCACTGAATACTCCCCTTCATTACAAAAGTATGCAAACAATCTCAATATAAATGGAGAACAGGCGGCGGCTCTCTCCCTGGGACACGAGGGCATAGCTGAGATTCCCTGGGTGGAATTCATGCCTGGACCACTGCCCCTCCCTTTCAGGACAGAAGGGGGAGGATGAAAGGGAGCGTGGTGCTGGGGACGTGTTGGCATGTGGCCAGCCGATGTGGGCTCGGTGGCAAGGGGGCCGTGGCCGGGCTACAGAGAGGTCCAAGTATTGGGCGCCCTTGGGGAGCCTGGAAGGCGGAGGTCCATGGATGGGAGAAGTGTTGGTGTGCCCTGCGTCCCCCTCCTAAGGCCTTGAGACAAATGGCAGCTGTCAGGGAGAGGCAGCACAATTATTTGAGGATTGCAGGGAAGGATGCGTCCCTTCTAGACATAAATGCAGAAACCCTGTCTATCTGGTTGTCAAAGGGCAACTTCCCAGTCGCACAACCCCCACACCAGCCACTGCGGATCCCAACAGAGCAGTAGGGGGTCTCGGCAGTGGGAACCAGCCCCTTCTCCAAAAAATGCTGTTACTACACAGCACAGGGGCGAGGCACATTGGTTGGAGAGGGTGGGGGGACTCAGAGAAACAAGGAGGAGACAGGAAGGGGGATCTGAGGCCCGTCTGTGACAGTGGGCAGACTTAAGTCTCTACCGTGGCAGCCAAGCAACTGGGCATCTGCCTCTTGAAGAACGAGAAAAGGGTGGTGGAAAGGGGCTCGGGTTTGGGCTCTAGGCAGGGCAGGAAGGGACGGGCACAATGGAGGGCTCGTCTATAGCGCCAACTCCTAGGGGCTTGCCTGGGAAGTACCACCCTTCGCTGAATGCGCCAGGTGGGAGTACCTTCAGACAACCTGGGCTAAAGGCTGAGAGCCCAGGCCTGGTGCCTCTGGGGAGACTGGCCCAGGCAGAAGCCAAACGATTAACAGGTCCAAACGGTGGGGGCGGTGCGATTGTCAAAGCCTGGATGAGAGCTGGTTGACATGGGTTCTGGGCTGCCCCACTAAGAGGGAAGAGACTGCAGCCTCCCAGAAGGGGCCCCCAACACTCCTGGAGCCCTTCCCTTGCCTGACTCTGGTTTGGAGCTTTCCAGGGAGAGAGGAACCACAACCTCAGGCAGTGGAATTTGTCTGAAATTGAACATGGGGAGAAGAGGTGGCTGCAAGAAATTGTGCCACTCTCTACCTTCCCCCACCTCCCACACACTTTGGGATGAAGCCAGACTGTGGGCAGAGGAGATGAGTGCTGGAGGCAGAGCTGGTGGCGTCCCCCGGTCCCTGGCCCTCGGGCTGGGCGCCACATCAGTGCATCTTGCCCAGCTGGACCTTCTTCCAGGCCTCCGAGGCCGTGAAGATGCACGAGTCCAGAATGCCGGCGACAGTGAAGGTCCCGCCAATGATGGCACAAATCTGAAAGAGGGTGGGGGTCAGAGGTCAGTGATAGAGGAAGCACCAGGCTGGATCCCTCCCAAATCCCAGGATCACAAGCTCTGCTAGTCAGACAATCTGGCCCATTGTGTCCACGATGCTCACCTCATAGTCACCAACAGGGTTCAGAACATACTCAGGGCTCAAAGAAAAGCACTTGTTGGGTGATGAATTTAAATATATATATATTTTTTGAGTCGGAACTCACTGTGGCCCAGGCTGTTGTGCATTGACTCTATTATGGCTCACCGCAGCCTCAATCTCCTGGGCTCAGGTGATCCTTCCATCTCAGCTTCCAGAGTAGCTGGGACTACAGGCATGTGCCATCATGCCTGGCCTGTCTTTTTAACTTTTTGTGTTGCCTAGGCTGGTCTTGAACTCCTGCCTTGGTCTCCCAAAGTGCTGGGATCACAGGCGTGAGCCACTGTGCCTAGACCGATGAATTTAATAACAATAAAATAATTATCACCCAAATCAGCTCCTTTAACTCTCATGTTTACCCTCTGAATGAAGAAGGGAATTATTAGACCCATTTCACCGGTGAAGAATCTGGGGCTCCTTAAGTAACTTGCCTAAGTTCACTGAAAAGTTACCAGAGCTGTGGAAGTGGCAGACCTTGGGTGTGATGGGTGGTGACTAGATAACCACACCAATCATTACAAAATTACAACCCAGGCAAGCACTGCAAGGCAGAGAGGCCTGTGGTACCACCAGAAAACCAGAGTTAGGGGCAGGTTTCTGTTGTCATTCGGGGCCAGATGACTCTTTGTTGTGGGGTGCTATCCTGGGCACTAAAGGCCATTGGTGGCACCCTGACCTCTGTCCCTGAGACACCTCAGAGCCCTTCTCAATGTTGTGACAACCAAAATGTCTCTAAACATCCCCAGAAATCAAAATCACCCCTGGTTGAGAACAGCTGTAGCTCGAATGATAATGTCACCTGTATGTCTTCATGTCACAACTTTTCTGCCAAAGAAAAAAATAACCACACCAAAACAGATAATAGTAACACAGCATCTCCCCTGTGCCAGGCACAGAGTGAAGTGCTTTGTGCCCATGAGTTCAACAAATCCCCCCAACCCTGGAAGGTAGGGACTATTCTCTTTTTGTAATATTAAGGTTTTATTTTTGTTTTCAGTCCGAGTTTGGAGTGCAGTACAGCCATCATGGCTACCGCAGCTTCAATCTCCTGGGCTCAGGTGATCTTTCTGCTTCAGCCTTTTAAGTAGTTGGAACCACAGGCTCAGGCAATCCTTCCACCTCAGCCTTCCGAGTAGCTGGGACTACAAGCACACATCACCATGCCTGACTAATTTTTAAATTGTTTTGTAGAGATGAGGTCTTATCTTGCTAAGTTGGTCTTGAACTCCTGGGCTCAAGCAATCCTTCCACCTTGACCTCCCATCACAGGACAGGGTAGAATTGACATTTGGGCAGCCCCAGAGGGCCCCCAAGGTTGCCGGCACCCTGTGGACACCACAGGTGGAAGACCAACCACTGCTACTTAGCCACTGGGGGAATCTGGGAGCTGTCAGCAGCACCTTGACAGATCGATCAATTGGTGACAAGTGTTGGGAGGCTGGAGACAGGATGAAGGTGAGAGGGAAATGCTGATCAAACCTGTGTCCGTTTCTGAAATGATATTTCCATGCTGTGAGCTAAGAAAAGCTTGCCTGGCCCAGGTCAGACAGAGCGGGCCTGTCCGGATGGCTGGAAGTGGAGCAGCTGGCCTTCCAGTAACGACAGCCAAGAAACCAGAGCAGCCCCCCAGGGACTGGGGAGGACCCAGGATGCTGGGGGATTAGGATGAAGTGTTTGCAGTGGGCAGAACCCCTCCCTGCCAGCCCCCAAGCATGACGCAGGGGTGCTTTTCAGGGAAGATGACGGCAGGGGAGCGGGTTTATTTTGGTAGAGTGGATCAGATGATGGGAGATTTTATACCACAAAACGCTTTTAGAGCTTGGATCAGAAGATAGGAAAATATGACTTAAGTGCAATGGAGCAAAAAATAAAAAATAACCACACACACACACACACACACACACATCTGTATTCATCCACACACTGTTTGGAGCCCAGATGCCTATGACTCACAGACACCTGGCATCCAGTCTGAAATCTCCTTTCACCAACTGGCCCAGAGCACAGGGAGACATGTGTACTGAGGTACACAGGAAAACACAGCCTGTGGGGAAACTGAGGCCCTGGGGGCATGGAAGCGGCTGAGCAACTAGCCCTTCAAAGGGTGAGTGACTGTCAGTCTTAAGGCTAAGATGTGAGGCTGGGCATGGTGGCTCACACCTATAATCCCAGCACTTTGGAAGGTCAAGACTGAAGAACTGCTTGAGCCCAGGAGTTCGAGACCAACCTGGGCAACATGGCAAGACGCTGTCTACCAAAAAAAAAATTAGCTGGGCATAGCGGAGGACACCTGTAATCCCAGCTACTTGGGAGGCTGAGGTGGAAGGATTGCCTGAGCCCAGGAGGTCGAGGCTGCGGTAGCTGTGATTGTGCCGCTGCACTCCAGCCTGGGCAATAGAGTGAGACCCCGACTAACAAAAAAAGAGAAAAAGAAAAAGAAAAAAAGGATAAAGGAAGACTCTGTGGTGGGCTCCCATGTATATCTGCTGATATCACATCATGTGCCCCCAACCCTGCTCACTGGTCACCTGAGGTGTGGGAAGGCGAAATCCTGACACATTCCAGAAGGTTCCTCAAAGCTGAGTGAACCCTAGCAGCCCGGGCCATGCTGCCATGACCTCCCCCACCCCGCCCCACTTATTTTATATTTATCCCCTGGGCCTTCCTGACGGTTCACTCCCCTGTGTGGTGACTAGCATGGGGTAAGGTACGGTCATGAGAGGGTCCCTGGGGGGCTCCCAGGTGTGGATCTCTCTGTATTCGGACATCAGGGAAGACACAGAAACCCCCAGCACTGAGTGTTACTTACCTTACTGGTCACACCCAAGGAGAGAAGATGGCAGAAATAACTGACACATGGAAGGTGTATAATACGTGCTTTTGACCACATAAAGGAGTACGTGAATGAGCGAGAAAGAATGAGGAGAGGGAGACTGAGTGAATGAATGAACGAAGGACTAGCTTGGGAAATGCACAGGATTCCACACCCAAGAGGAGCAAAGGTGACTCATTTGTAGGGGTGTCCTCTGGGAGCTGAGAAAGGCAGTGCTGATGAGAGGGTGGGCCTGGAGAAGGGACCCAGGATGGGCAGGCGGGGGCACCCCTCCCCCGCCCAATGGGACCTGCGCCTGGGACCTGAACCAGGGCCCGGGGTCACCGTGATGACATGGAGGGAGCCTGGACTTTGGAGTCTGGAAGAACTTGGCTCAGACCCCTGCCATCCATGTGCCCTTGTGCTGCCCTAACTCCCCGTGCCTCAGTCTCCCTACTTTTATTATTTATTTTTATTTTTGTATTAGAAAATATAGTTTATTTAAAAGTAAAGTGGGGGAGGGGAGAGAGAGAAAGAGGAGATTCACCTCCCCCAGGTAGGGATCAGTTTCCCTACTTTTAAAAGCAGGAAGACTAACCCTTACTCCTTAGGACTGCTGTGATTTTGATCGGAGTGGCACAGGGATGCACTCGAGAGCTTGTTCCCTCCACCCCTCCACACTGTATGCTCTTGTGTCTCCCAACCAGGCCTCAAGGCAGGAAGGCAGGCAACCCTGGTGGAGGGTGTCTGCCCTGTGGGGGATAAGGGAGCAGGGCCTCTGAGCCAGGCTGGGCCACCACAGCAAGTGCACACACCCTGCTGTGATTGGCAGCTGCAGGGACTGAAAGAAAAAGGAAAGCAATCTCATATCCAGGCCCCAGGGAGGCTGAGGAGCACACAGATTTGCCTTCACCAGACATCATCAAGAAAAATCAAATAATAAATAAATAAAAAGAAGCCATCAATAACACCCCTTGGTTCCAAACCAGCAACTTCCTCCCAGAGGTTCTATCAGCTTCCTGACCCTCCACTGCCACCAGAATGAAGTCAGCTTGTCTACATTTATTTTATTTACTTTTGATTTGGGGTCTCATTGTCACCCAGGCTGGAGTACAGTGGCACAATGGCAGCTCACCACTGCCTCGACCTCCTGGGTTCAGGCAATCCTGCCCCAGCCTCCCGAGTACCTGGGACTATAGGCACGCACCACCATGCCTGACTAATTTTTTGATTTTTATGTAGAGACAAGGTCTCGCTATGTTACTCAGGCTGGTCTGAAACTCCTGGGCTCAAGCAATCCTCCCTCCTTGGTCTCTCAAAGTGCTGGGATTACAAGCCTGAGCCACTGCTCCTGGCCCAGCTTGTCTACCTTTAAAAGGGGCATGTGTCTCTACATTTGAACTGCAGCCTTGATTCCTTATAACATGGAAAGGTTGTGTTCCTACCGTGCTGGCTGAGCCAAATGTCTGTCTTGCCAGCCACGCTGACACTTTCCCAGTTCATCTCTACCACCCCCTCACTTTTGAGTAGCTGCAGCCAGCACCACACACACCCCACCGCAGGGAAGGGAGGCTGGGGGTGAACATTCTTGGGGCCCAATCTCAGTTCTGTGGCCCCAGCCAGGAGAGCACTGACCCAACCAGGAGAGCCAGTCTACCTCTCTGAGCCTCATTTTTCCCATCTGTAGAATGGGGTGTGCCGTGAGGGCTGAGGGTGCTGTACAGCTGCCTGGGTACCATCCGTGCCAGGAGCCGTTCGGGCGCCTTCCTGGCTGGGTCAGTGCTGCTTTAAAAGCATGTGGAAAAGGCACAGCATGAGGAAATGAATAATGGATCAGAGAGTCCCATCAGACCAGCAGCGGCAGACAGGCTGGAGCCGGAGATGAGGGCACCACAGTGGAGGAGGCAGAGGTGGGGGCTGCGTGGCCCTGGAAAGGCTGGGAGTGGGGGAAGGGGAAGCGTGAGGCTGTCCTGACCCCTCACCTGCACCCCTGAGCCCAGAAGTCTGGGGAGAGGAGAGTCTTCCCCTG